GCCGCCGGGCCCGCAGCGCCGCCGGGGGCGGGGGCAGCCACAGCCCGCCTGCCACCACCGCCTGAGGGCGCACGTCGGCGACGACCGGGACAGACCGTGCGGGAAGGCGCCGGCCCTGCGTGTTGCAACCCGAGGCCCACCCGGTACCAGGACTTGGCACAGACCCTGCCTTCCCAGCCACCCTTGCCCGCACCGGACACCATTCGTCTCACAGCTGCCTGTGCCCCTGCATGGGTTTTCAAGCATGTTTGGCTCCGAATGGTTCCTGCCCCTCTTCATGGCTGTTGCAGTCCAGGAGATGCCCTGGAGAATGGCAGACTTTCTTTGCTGGTGTTTCCACTTGAAATTCAAAGCGGCGCCATCGTTTTGTTGGTAGGAGTCCACTGCATTCGTAGTCTGGTGCCAACCCGCATTCAACATGCGCTGTGGCTTCCCCGGTCTTTAAATTTTAAAGGGAACTCTTTAGCTGGTTGCTGGAGAACAAGTAGTACTGTCTGGTCAGCAGAAAATCTGTTTGGTTACATGATGTCAAATGTTTCTTTTCTACAATTTTTCTTGTAACTTTTGATTGGACCTTCGCTCTTCCCCAGACAATTGTATTTCTTTCCTTAAAATTGTGTTTTTGGCTCTGAAATTTGTGGAAGTCAAACTAGCACACGCTACTGTGATTTTGCTCATTTCCTATAATCAAGGACTGACTGCTCTCCCTCTCTGGCTGCAGTTCTTGCTGGTATTGGTTCTTTGCTTATTAATTCCACATTGGCCATACCAATGAACAACACAGCTCAGTTAATTATCCTTGCAGGAATTATTAACAAGATCCTTTGTGTTGAATATGCTTTCATTGTGACCTTTTGGCCCTTGGACACATGTTAACTTGGAGCTGTGTTACTGATGGACTGGATGATGGTTTGGCTGTTGAGTTTACACTTTGTAACTAAAACTTGAGCACCAGGTAGCACCGTATCTTGGCAAAATGCTGTTCATGAATAAGATATTTGTATCACCCAAGAGAATTTATCCAGGTGTCTTGAGAGAGAGATTTTTTTTATATAATAAATTCTACTTTTTACTGTGAACTTTACCTCATTCTGGCTGTGATCTATTTTTGAGTCTTAAGTCACCTGTTCCTATTCGGTAAGTCTTTTGGTGGGAATATTTCAGTGAAATCAAGGCCGTTGGAAAGTCCCTGATCACCAGCATTTCAGGCTAAAATGTCCTTCCTTACTCACACTTCTGGTGTAGTTCAGATGGCAGTTTGTGTCACTTCCCATTTATTTGCAGCCTTGAAGCACAGGGATCACTCTGTTTGGTTTGTATACTAACCTCTGCTTAGTGTTGTAGATACCTCTCTGCATTTGGATCTGGATTGAGAGCAACAAACTTCATCTTGGCTATGAAACGGCAGGTTTGAACAGCTTATGATTAGGGACCTACCTAATTCACAGTGGTTGCCTCCAAATTCGCTGTCCCAGCAAGACATCAGGTGCCATTTTTGTGGTGGGGGGCACACCTCTGATTGGCTAAATGGCACTTGAAGTCCCACCCCTCCCCAAAAATTGATGGGTGGTCCCAAACAGGCTTGCTTGTTAATGCAGCAATTCATGCCTTCCTTGGGCTTGATCAGGGAATTAAGCCTGGGGAAGATATTACTTGCTGCATTAGCAAGCAGTTCAGGATGCGGTTAATACTTTTCCCAGGACTGATCAGGGGATCAATTGCAAGGAAGGCATTAACTGGGTTCTAGGCTGCTGATGTTGAAATCTCCCAATCAATCCTGGGAAGGCATTAACTGTGCCCTGGACTTCTTGCTACCATGGCAATTAATGCCTTCCCCAGGCTTGATTGTGGGATCAATTGTGGAGAAGCCATTAATTGCTGCATTATCATTAAGCAATCTAAGCACCTAATTAATCTGTAAAAAAAACAAACCCCCAAACCCTTATTAAAATAAATCAATGGACACAATGAATTTTAACAAATACCAACTATATACACTTTCATAGATTTCAGATACATAAGGGCTGGAAGGGTCCTCGAAAGATCATCGGGTTCAGCACCCTGCCCAAGGGGCAGGAAGTCATCAGAGGTTTGTTCAATAGTACTGTACCATCTAAACAAAATTCTTACACTAAAATATCTTCTAAAAATAAAGCTGTACTATGCACAACATGAATTGTAACTAATACCAGCTATATACATTTTATTAAAGGACCTTAGAAAACGGAGTTTACTGAAACAATGCTAACCTTAAGACAGGCAGTTCAGGCTATGTATTAAATGCTAGCATGGGTGCATCCAGCCACAGTTGCTGAAGAAATTCTCTGCTTCTGTGAGGTGAACACTTATCCATGAATGGAGATGGTATGCTCAGTGTCCCCAAGTTCGTTGGAATGGTGAGGCAACATCTTGCCAGGGCGTAAAAATGTGGAAACCGGATACAGACAGTCCCAGAACACAGGCACAGGCATCTGGCAGTCTTTGGCGAAGTTCAGGTAGGCAGCACATTCGGTGTCATGCAGTTTCCCTCATTCCGGGATTGCTTTCAGTAGCTGAGGGTCACAACTGAGGAAAGGTACCTGGTTGGGATCTAAAATGTGAACAGCACTAAGGAAGGGGGCAGCCAGCTGTCTGAACTGTGGCAGCAGTGATGGGTCGTACCTGTAGTACTGGTTCAGCTTCGCAGCTGTTGCCTGGAACAGTTCCCTTCTGTGCTGGTTTTCACAAGGGCAGCTTGACAGTTTCTTGCTATGGCCTATCTTCAACCCAGCTTATCAAGTCTATCACCTAGTGTGTGTGATGGATCACAGCCTGTCAGCCTTCAAACCTGGTCATGACCTGGGTGGCATTGTCAACCACAAATGTCACTTGATCTTAAATGTTGCCTGGCTGCAAGAGATCTGAAGCTTGAGCATGCACTGTGTGCTGGGTGTGGTTTCCAGCTTCTCACTCAAACTGCTGGTAATGCTGCATATACTTGGTGTGGTAGCAGGCTGCACTGAACCAGAAATTCCACCATGTTAGCACAGGCTCTGGTGGCAGCAGCACAGTGGCACATGAGTCTGACTTGCAACAGACTCCCTGTACTGAATCTTACAGCCTGGATGGTGCTTGAAGGCTTTCTCAAAGGAAGACATCAAGCTATCCACCTTGGGGAACTGTGTGTCAGATGTCACTTTCTAGGGACAGACTGTGCAGGTGCCATGAACAGCAGTGTGCAGCATTCCTTGGAGCACATTGGAGAAAGACTTGCACATGCACATGGCATTGCCAGACCAGAATGCTGAGATCTTGTTACCATAGCTGACAATTATCTTCACAACTGCTTGGGACACCATGGAAAAATTGACAGAGATGAGATGGACCGGCTCAGTTTGAAACACAGGTAGGTCCTGACCAGTCCAGGTCCCTGGCAAAAAAAAAAATGTGCAGCACAGTTGTCCTGAGGGTCAGTGGCTTCATCAGCCCCAGTGGAAAAGGAATGATACTCTGCCAAGGCAGCCTTTCTGGATTCTACGTGCAAAGCAATGACTGCAAAGGAGATATTTCTGGTGAAGCTTGTTGGCGCACAGAATCATAGAATCGAAGGACTGGACGGGACCTGCAAGATCATCAAGTCCTGGTCCCCTGCCATGGGCAGGAAGTTATTGGGCTCAAACGAGCTCAACAAGGCGTTTATCCAGCCTCCTCTTAAACACCTCCAAGGATGGCGACTACACCACCTCT